AGGGCTCCGCAGGAAGGGAGGGGGGGGGGGGGGCGTTCGTCGTTCGGGGCCCATCGGGCTATAGCGACGGGCTGCGTCTGGCCCGCGCAGAGAGGGCGCGGTTTCCATCCAGAGGCGGGGGCGACTTGTCTCTGATGTAGGCTCGCCCTCGAAACCCCGAAGCGCGCCCGCTGGGACTGCCCCGTGCGATCCAGAGTTAGCGCTGCGCGCCGCGTGCTCTGATCGAGAGAACCAGGAGGGGGTGCGATGGCCTCTCCTTCTTTCGGCGCCGCGGTATAATCCCAGCTGATTGGGCCCAGGTCGATCCGCCCCCTCGGGGCCTCATCCTTTGGGTCCCGACTTCCCCTCGCGGGGCTTCCCGAGCCCCTCTGGCGCGGTTCTGGGCGCTGGCGATGCTGGCGGGGGGTGGTCGCTCATCGGGCCCGTTGCTGAGGCGAGAAGGCTGGCGCGACGCGCTTTTTTAATGGCGGGTCCCATTGCCGCTGGGGGGGCTCGCGCGGATCGGCTTCTTGGGGCGGGCCCTTGGAACTCAAGCCGCCATTCGACGGGGGCGAGATCCGAGCCCTCTTTTTTTCCTCTCGTATTTCGGCGGCATAACCCACCTATGTAGTTCGCGCCTTTTTCGCTGACAGCACCTCCGACGTCGTGCGTAATAGCAAGTTTTGTAGAGGTTGTGGCCTGAATCGAATCGCGCGGGCTGGCTCGAGGTCGACCAGGTGCTCAGAAACTGCGGGGGCGTTCAGGTTTTGGTCGAGCCCCGCTCGCCTGCGCAGGGGGCCCCTTCTGGTTCGTTGGCCCGCTAATGCGCAGGTATGCGAGTTAGCTGGATTTCTGGCGGAGGAGGCGCGGCCCCCCTGCGCCCGAACTGCGCGCGCTCAGCTGGCGCGCGCCCGGCGGTCCAAGGTCGGATGCCACCTCGCCGCCGCCGCGAAGCTGGTTTCGGCTTGTTTTCGCGACGGGCCACCTCCATGGCCGAAGGTGATGAGGCCCAGATTTTCCGCGGCGGTCAGGAACGCTCTCAAGCTCGCCATAGCTCTGACGGAGTCGAAGCATATGATCCCGAATCCCCACAAGGCCTATTGGCAGTGCTCCCAGTGAGACGGACGCGCTAGGGAAAAAAACAATTTCGAGTTTGCTTTTCTTGACCCCGCGCCCTGACAAATTTACGGTTGCTCCCCCCATCGGTTTTCTTTGGGGCGAAATGTACGGCGCCCGCGCCGCCCAGAGAGGTGTCGGAGTTTTTTTTTTTTTTTTGGGGGGGGGGGGGTGGCGTGCGAGCAGCGCGCAATTGCTCGAGTTCTCAAGGAAGGGCTTGCAATCCCCTGCAGAGTCGCCAGAAGGGGAACGCATCACCTCGCGAGGGTGATGCAACATCACGGCTCAGAGAGCCAGAGCTGCCGAGGGAGGAGTCGGCGCGAGAAGGACGTTCTGACCCCCTTGGTTTCAGGCTCGCGCCAGCATTGTCGTCGGTGTGGGGGTCTTCTCTTTCCCCCCCTCCGCGCCCGCGCGCTCCTCCAGGGAAAACTCTCCTCTCCTCCCCTCTCCGCTCCACTCTTCTCCTCTTCTCTCCTCCGTCCTCCCGCGTCCTTCCTCCTTCCATCCCTGCCTTTGCCGTCCGCGCCACTCACCGGCGCAACGCTTCGTGGCCCCACAGGGGACTTCACCGCAGGCCCCAGTGACGGTGTTCGCATGCGTTTACCGCACCCACTAGAGCGTTTCGTGGCCCCACATGTCGCTCCACAGGAGGACCGACTTGCGATGTGCGCATGCGTTTCCCCGCCCAGCACAACGTTTCGTGGTTCCAAGAGGAGCTCCACCTGAGGCCCCAGTCGCGTTATTCGCATGCGTTTCCGGCACCAAGCGTAGCGTTTCCTGTCACCATAGGGAACTCAACCAGAAACCGCAACGGCGGCGTTCGCATGCTTTCCCCCTTCGCAATACTCAACGCTTCGCGGCCCCATCGGAAGCTCCACCGTAGGCTTCGTGGCAGTGTTCGCATGCGTCCCCCCACCCAAGTACAGCGCTTGTCCACCGAAGGCCCCAGTGGCGGCGGCGGTGTTCGCATGCGTTTCCCCCACACAGTACAGCGCTTCGTGGCCCCATGGGGAGGTCCACCGAAGGCCCCATTTGCGGTGTTCGCATGCGTTTCCCCCAACCAAAAACAGCGTCTCGTGGCACCATAGGGAACTCCACCGAAGGTCCCAGTGGCGGTTCTCGCATGCGTGTCCCCCATCCAATTGCAGCGCTTCGCGGCCGCATAGGGAGCTCCACCGAAGGCCCCAATCGCGGTGTTCGCATGCGTTTCCCGCACCCAGTACAAAGATGCGTGGCCCCATAAGAAGCTCCACCGAAGGAAGGCTTAGCGGCAGTGTTCGCACGCGTTTCCCCCGTCCAAGTACAGCGTTTCGCGGCCTCATAGGGAACTCCACTGAAGTTTGACTGTTTTCGCATGCGTTTCCCTCACCCAGTACAGCGCTTCGTGACCCCATAGGGAGCTCCACCGAATGCCCCAGTGGCGGCCCCGCCCCATTGCGGCGCACCCCGCACACGTTTCGCGGCCCCCTGGTGGATTCCGCGCAAGCCCCAGTGGCAGCACTCCCATGGCAGCCCCATATCGGCAGACCCCTCGCATGTTTCATGGTCCCATGAGGAGATCCCCCGGAGGCGATGCCCGCAACGACGGCATTCACAACTACAGTTTTTTATTTTAGTTTTCGGAGCCCGAGGGGCCGCCACGCGCGCGCGAAGTAGAACAATCGAAACTTGTTACCGGAGATTCTAGCACGCCTCTGGCCCGTCAGGCCGGCTAACTCCTTGTTGGGTGGCGTGGTGTTCTCGTTTCGTTTGGTGACTTTTTTTAGTTGTTACATCCGCGAGATTATACAATTTGCTTGCGACCCAGCACGGCCACGAGGACCGGGTCCCCCACATTGAAGACAAAACGTGCTTCAAGAAAATAAGAAACAAGACGCTATACAAGATGAGGTCGAAGCACAACATGGCGGCCACAAAGTGGCGATAGCGGGGCGTAGGCTCGGAGGCCCCGACGCCCCGCGCCCGCCCCCGCAGGGGCCGTGCCGGTGGTAGGAAATGACCTTGTGGGGTCTGGCCTGCCGGCCGCAATGTCACTCGATCGTGTCCAGCTTGACTCAAGGCGCCGATCCAGAGAAGCCCCGCCACACGGCCGCTAGGGCCACGAGGAATCACGATAAGGACCACCGGTTTAACCCTCCCCTCCCATGGTTGTACATATTGGACCCGCGAAAGCCCATGGGCAAGTTCACAAGGCCTGCATGATGAACACGAAGTAATGCCACTGCCGGTAGAGTCTCCCACCACCGGGAGAGGTCGAACTCAAGGGTCGTCTCGTCCCCCCACGGCCGCTGTAAATGACGTGAGGCGAGGAGTTTCGAATACGAGGAGGAGCCCACTCCTCGGCGGCCACCAGCACTGCCTCAAGCACGAAGAACCACGTGGCCAGGCTCCCACCTCGGTGAGACACTTCAATGGAACTCGAAGTTTTGGGGAGTTCGTCGAAGCAAGGTTGAGCACACCATAAGCCTTCTGTACCTTTGTCATCATAAGAGGCTCCCCCATCGTTAGGAGATTCTGCAATTTGTTGGCCGTGCTCCTTCTCCTTTTAAAATGATGTGAAGGATAATGCTGGAGAGGGGAGGAGGAAGACAAGAGACCAGCAGGATTACGGGCAGGATAATGATCATGAGTTCAACAGCACTGCCAAGAAATGAAGGATGAGGTCAAGGGAGCACGGAGGTGGGCGCAGGAAGAGGGGGAAGGGCGGGATGAGGATGGGGACAGGGGGAGGTGTGAGGAGGACGGGAGGAGGAAGGGGATGGACGCGTCGGGCATGATGAGGAACGAGGAGCCAGGGGAAGGAGGAGAAGAGGCAGGAGGAGGGAGGCCGTGGAGGAGGAGGGGGAGGAGGAGTGGGAGGCGACAGAGGGGCAGGGGGGGTGGGGCAGCGGAGGGGGACGTCGGTTTCCCTTCCGGGCCTCCCCAAGAGGGAAGCCCGTGGCGTGCATGTTCGTGCACGTGGACCAGCAGCCCACCTACGAGCTGGAGAGCCTCCCAGTGGGGCTCCGGGGCGGCGCCCGGGAGCGCAGGACCCACGGGTTCCGCGTGAGGTTCCGCTCGAACGGGGAGGTCCCGTTTATGAACGAGATCGCGATCGTCAGGCGGGGCGGACAAGCTCTGCACCCCATCTTCCCCCCCTGCCCCTGCCTCTCCTAGGGGGGGGGTTGGAGGAGGAGAGGGAAGGGGGGGACTTAGGACGTGGCATGAACAGGCTTTGGGACGCTCGCCTTCGGTTCCTGGGCCTCTGGGGCCCTTTCCGCGCGCCTCTGCAGACTCCTTCCCGTCCGCCTGTCTCCAATCTTTCCTTCCTCCTGGCATGCCCCTTCGTCTTCCCCCCCGTCCCCCCTCTCGCCCTTTCCCTATCTCCTTGCTGTTATCAGGCGGGTGACGATGTTCTGCATCCTGATGCAGATCCCTCTGGTGTTGGTTCGCTTCTTCGTGGTCACATTTCTCGGAACGCTCTCGAAGCTGTACAGCAGGGTGATGAACCAGGAGCTGACAAACAATGAGGAGGAGGAGGAGGAGGAGGAGGAGGAGGAGGAGGAGGAGGAGGAGGAGGAGGAGGAGGTGGAAGAGGATTGTACGTCCCTCTCCGCGAGCGGTAGCAGGGGGACGGGGAGGCAAAAGAGGGCAGGCACGACGAGAAGGGACACGAGCAAGAAGACCAGGAGATGACAGGAAGGAGGAGGAGGAGGAGGAGGAGGAGGAGGAGGAGGAGGAGGAGGAGGAGGAGGAGGAGGAGGAGGAGGAGGAGGAGGAGGTGGAGGGCTGACAAGCTGGACGCGGAGCAGGAGGAGCAGGAGGAGGAGGAGGAGGAGGGCGTTTAGCCAGGAGCTCAACCTCGCAGAGGCCTGCAAGGGTCTCGCCGCTCGGCTCATCTCCCACAGCGGGCCCTTCGTGGACCTCATGGACGGCCAGCAGGCGGTGGAGCCAAAGAAGAACGACGAGGCCGAAGGAGAAGAGGAGGCCGACGAGGAGCAGGCGGCCGCCAAAGATATCGCTGACGAGGAGGGGGGCGGCGACGATCAGCAGGACAGCACGGAGATGGGCATCAGCAAGGACAGGATACTCGCCAGGATTCGCGAGTTCCTCGAATACAGCGACGTGATCAGTGACCAAGAATTGCTCCGCATGGTTGATTTCCTCCATCAGGGTCTGAAGGGTATGACCGAACAGACCAAGGATCCGATGCGCCCCAAACTGCCAAAGCATCCCAGGTCTTGTCATTGTCATCTGATCATTCTTATTCATTATTTTGCCGATCGGCACGGGCCCTCGCACCCCCTCCCCCTTTCCCCAATGGAGTAGATCTTGGTTGTTTTGGGCGCCCGTCTCAAGCGGGTGGAGTTTCCCCCATGGGACGCACTATTGCAAACAGTCTCATTAAGCAGAGGTCCAGAGCCAGACCCCCCCCTCCCACCCCCTTCCGCCCAAGGTTCAAACGCCGAAGCAGAAACTTACCAACGCATCCCAGGTCTTGTCATTGGAAAGTGCGTGTTCTGCCGCTGCTGGCAGAAAACTGGGGGGGGTCTCTGGGGGTTTCCAACCAGTCCCCCCCTTTGAAAACCCGGTCCATAATGAAAATGGCGGGGGTTCACTACCGGTTCGAACTCTCCCCCGTCCTCGCCGCCGGCAGTGGGGACAGAGGGATAGTGGTGGAGACTGGGGACAGTGGCGGAGGGTGGGACCGTGGTGGGGAAAGTGGTGGGGACAGTGGAGACAGTGCGACAGCGGTGGAGGCACTGGCGGGGACAGTGGTGGGAACAGTGGGGACAGTGGGACAGTGGTGGGGACAGTGGGGACTGGGACAGTGGTGGGGACGGTGGTGGTGGGGACAGTGGTGAGGGGACAGTGGGATAGTGGTGGGGGGGGGCACCGGTGGGGATAGTGGGACAGTGGTGGGGACGGTGGTGGTGGGGACAGTGGTGAGGGCGGTGGTGAGGACGGTGGTGGGACAATGGGACAGTCGTACAGTGGGGACAGTGGTGGGGACAGTGTGGACAGTGGGACACTGGTGGGAACAGTGGTGACAGTGGGACAGCACAGTGGGACAGCGGTGGGGACAGTGGGGACAGTGGGGACAGTGGTGGGGGCAGTGCGACATTGCGACAGCGGTGGGGGCAGTGGGGAGTGGGACCGTGGTGGGGACAGTGGTGGGGACCGGGGACAGTGCGACAGTGGTGGGGGCACTGATGGGGACAGTGGGGACTGGTGGGAGCAGTGGGACAGCGGTGGGGACAGTGGGGAGTGGTGGGGGCGGTGGTGGGGGGGACAGCAGTGGGGGCACTGGCGGGGACGGTCGTGGGGATCCGGGAGTCTTTGGCCGGCTGCGAGCGTGGAGGGGGAGGGTTCGAAGCAGCAGTGAGGCGGGGGGTCGGCGAGGGGGGGGGGTGGCGGGGGGGTTCGAACCGATAGTGCCCCCCCCCCCCCCCCCCAGTTTTCCATAGAGGGGGGGGGGGTCGGGGGGAGGGGGGGGAGTTCTTGCGCCTGCCGGGGAAGGGGGGGTGGGTCGAGCAGGGGGGGGGATGTTCGGAAGGGGGGACCCCCGGGTTCCGGAGGAAGAGGCGGTGGATCACGCTCTCTCTCTCTCTCTCTCTTTTTTTCTTTTTTTTTTTTCTCTCTCTCTCTGTGATTGTCGTCCATCCTCCCTCCCTCGCCACTGTTCATCCCCGTGCGGGAAGATGCAGCGACACGGAGGGGCAGCGGGGCCCGCTCTGAGACAGCGCGAGCGCTCTCGTTCTGCATTCTAGACGACGACCACCCGACACCCACGGCGAGCCTCGGCTGCGCACTGAAGGCGGGAGGGGACAGATGCTGCGACTGTGCTTAAGTCGGGCGTGTCCCTCTACAGGAGGGATTTTCAAGCATAGTCAACAAAGTAGTCTGGGGACGATTTGTGGAGTATTTTTTTTTTGATTATTCTTTGAGTGTTTTCGATTTGTCGCCCCAAATCCGCCTGTAGGGGGGCAGGCCAGACCTAAGTAAGGCTATGCCCCAGTACCCCAGGTCGGCCACATGCAGAGGAGGGGGCAGGCGGAGGAAGGAAGGCTCCTGAGAAACACCCCTACCTCTCAGAAGGCGCCGGGCCTTCGCTGCAGATGCAACGCTGGCGCCTCGTAAGAAGCAGCCTCCTCCTAAGAAGCCGCTCCTTCTCCCCCTACAGTCAACAGAGGAAGGAAGGCTCCTTAGAAGCACCCCTGCCTCTTAGAAGGCGCCGGGCCTTCGCTGCAGATGCAACGCTGGCGCCTCGTAAGAAGCAGCCTCCTCCTAAGAAGCCGCTCCTTCTCCCCATACAGTCAACAGAGGAAGGAAGGCTCCTTAGAAGCAGCCCTGCCTCTCAGAAGGCGCCGGGCCTTCGCTGCAGATGCAACGCTGGCGCCTCGTAAGAAGCAGCCTCCTCCTAGGAAGCCGCTCCTTCTCCCCCTACAGTCAACAGAGGAAGGAAGGCTCCTTAGAAGCACCCCTGCCTCTCAGAAGGCGCCGGGGCCTTCGCTGCAGATGCATCGCTGGCGCCTCGTAAGAAGCAGCCTCCTCCTGAGAAGCCGCTCCTTCTCCCCCTACAGTCAACGGAGGAAGGAAGGCTCATTCGAAGCACCCCTGCCTCTCAGAAGGCGCCGGGCGTTCGCTGCAGATGCAACGCTGGCGCCTCGTAAGAAGCAGCCTCCTCCTAAGAAGCCGCTCCTTCTCCCCGTGCAGTTAACAGAGCAAGGAAGGCTCCTTAGAAGCACCCCTGCCTCTCAGAAGAAGCAGCCTCCTCCTAAGAAGCCGCTCCTTCTCCCCCTACTGTCAACGGAGGAAGGAAGGCTCCTTAGAAGCAGCCCTGCCTCTCAGAAGGCGCCGGGGCCTTCGCTGCAGATGCAACGCTGGTGCCTCGTAAGAAGCAGCCTCCTCCTGAGAAGCCGCTCCTTCTCCCACTACTTTCAACGGAGGAAGGAAGGCTCCTTGGAAGCACCCCTGCCTCTTAGAAGGCGCCGGGGGCTTCGCTGCAGATGCAACGCTGGCGCCTCGTAGGAAGCAGCCTCCTCCTAAGAAGCCGCTCCTTCTCCCCCTACAGTCAACGGAGGAAGGACGGCTCCTTGGAAGCACCCCTGCCTCTCAGAAGGCGCGGGCCTTCGCTGCAGATGCAACGCTGGCGCCTCGTAAGAAGCAGCCTCCTCCTAGGAAGCCGCTCCTCCTCCCCCTACAGGCAACAGAGGAAGGAAGGCTCCTTAGAAGCACCCCTGCCTCTTAGAAGGCGCCGGGGGCTTCGCTGCAGATGCATCGCTGGCGCCTCGTAGGAAGCAGCCTCCTCCTAAGAAGCCGCTCCTTCTCCCCCTACAGTCAACGGAGGAAGGAAGGCTCATTAGAAGCACCCCTGCCTCTCAGAAGGCGCCGGGGGCTTCGCTGCAGATGCAACGCTGGCGCCTCGTAAGAAGCAGCCTGCTCCTAAGAAGCCGCTCCTCCTCCCCATACAGTCAACAGAGGAAGGAAGGCTCCTTAGAAGCAGCCCTGCCTCTGAGAAGGCGCGGGCCTTCGCTGCAGGTGCAACGCTGGCGCCTCGTAAGAAGCAGCCTCCTCCTAGGAAGCCGCTCCTCCCCCCCTACTTTCAACGGAGGAAGGAAGGCTGCTTAGAAGCACCTATGCCTCTCAGAAGGCGCCGGGGGCTTCGCTGCAGATGCATCGCTGGCGCCTCGTAAGAAGCAGCCTCCTCCTGAGAAGCCGCTCCTTCTCCCCCTACTGTCAACGGAGGAAGGAACGCTCCTTAGAAGCACCCCTGCCTCTCAGAAGGCGCTGGGGCCTTCGCTGCAGATGCAACGCTGGCGCCTCGTAAGAAGCAGTCTCCTCCTAGGAAGCCGCTCCTTCTCCCCCTACAGTCAACGCAGCAAGGAAAGCTCCTTAGAAGAACCCCTGCCTCTCAGAAGGCGCCGGGGGCTTCGCTGGAGATGCAACGCTGGCGCCTCGTAAGAAGCAGCCTGCTCCTAAGAAGCCGCTCCTTCTCCCCCTACAGTCAACGGAGGAAGGAAGGCTCCTTAGAAGCACCCCTGCCTCTCAGAAGGCGCGGGGCGTTCGCTGCAGATGCATCGCTGGCGCCTCGTAAGAAGCAGCCTCCTCCTGAGAAGCCGCTCCTTCTCCCCCTACAGTCAACGGAGGAAGGAAAGCTCCTTGGAAGCACCCCTGGTTCTCAGAAGGCGCGGGGCGTTCGCTGCAGATGCAACGCTGGCGCCTCGTAAGAAGCAGCCTCCTCCTAAGAAGCCGCTCCTTCTCCCCCCTACAGTCAACGGAGGGAGGAAGGCTCCTTAGAAGCACCCATGCCTCTCAGAAGGCGCGGGGCCTTCGCTGCAGATGCAACGCTGGCGCCTCGTAAGAAGCAGCCTCCTCCGAAGACGCCGCTCCTCTCCCCCTACAGTCAACGGAGGAAGGAAGGCTCCTTAGAAGCACCCCTGCCTCTCAGAAGGCACCGGGGGCTTCGCTGCAGATGCATCGCTGGCGCCTCGTAAGAAGCAGCCTCCTCCTAAGAAGCCGCTCCTTCTCCGGCTACTTTCAACGGAGGAAGGAAGGCTGCTTAGAAGCACCCATGCCTCTCAGAAGGCGCCGGGGGCTTCGCTGCAGATGCAACGCTGGCGCCTCGTAGGAAGCAGCCTGCTCCTAAGAAGCCGCTCCTTCTCCCCCCTACAGTCAACGGAGGAAGGAAGGCTCCTTGGAAGCACCCCTGCCTCTCAGAAGGCGCGGGGCTTCGCTGCAGATGCATCGCTCTCGCCTCGTGCAGCCTCCTCCTAGGAAACCGCTATTTCTCCCCCTACAGTCAACGGAGGAAGGAAAGCTCCTTAGAAGCACCCCTGCCTCTGAGAAGGCGCGGGCCTTCGCTGCAGGTGCAACGCTGGCGCCTCGTAAGAAGTAGCCTCCTCCTAGGAAGCCGCTCCTCCTCCCCCTACAGTCAACGGAGGAAGGAAGGCTCCTTGGAAGCACCCTGCCTCTCAGAAGGCGCAGGGCCTTCGCTGCAGATGCAACGCTGGCGCCTTTCAGAAAGCGCCGGGCCTTCGCTGCAGATGCAACGCTGGCGCCTCATAAGAAGCAGCCTCCTCCTAAGAAGCCGCTCCTTCTCCCCCTACTGTCAGAAGGAGGAAGGAAGGCTCCTCAGAAGCACCCTTGCCTATCAGAAGGGGAGGGCCTTCGCTGCAAATGCAACGCTGCCGCCTCGTAAGAAGCAGCCTCCTCCTCAGAAACCGCTTCTTCTCCCCCTGCAGTCAATGGAGGAAGGAAGGTTCCTTAGAAGCACCCCTGCCTCTCAGAAGGTGCCGGGGGCTTCGCTGCAGATGCATCGCTGGCGCCTCGTAAGAAGCAGCCTCCTCCTGAGAAGCCGCTCCTTCTCCCCCTACAGTCAACGGAGGAATCAGGAAGGCTGCTTAGAAGCACCCATGCCTCTCAGAAGGCGCGGGCCTTTTCTGCAGATGCAACGCTGGCGCCTCGTAAGAAGCAGCCTCCTCCAAGGAAGCCGCTCCTTCTCCCCCTGCAGTCAACGGAGGAAGGAAGGCTCCTTAGAAGCACCCCTGCCTCTCACAAGGCGCGGGCCTTCGCTGCAGATGCAACGCTGGCGTCTCGTAAGAAGCAGCCTCCTCCTAAGAAGCCGCTCCTTCTCCCCCTACAGTCAACGGAGGAAGGAAGGCTCCTTAAAAGCACCCATGCCTCTCAGAAGGTGCCGGGGGCTTCGCTGCAGATGCATCGCTGGCGCCTCGTAAGAAGCAGCCTCCTCCGAAGACGCCGCTCCTTCTCCCCCTGCAGTCAATGGAGGAAGGAAGGCTCCTTAGAAGCACCCATGCCTCTCAGAAGGCGCGAGCTTTCGCTGCAAGATGCAACGCTGGCGCCTCGTAAGAAGCAGCCTTCTCCTCTGCAGTCAACGGAGGAAGGAAGGCTCCTGAAAAGCACCCCTGCCTCTCAGGAGGCGCCGGGCCTTCGCTGCAGATGCAACGCTGGCGCCTCGTAAGAAGCAGCCTCCTCCGAAGACGCCGCTCCTTCTCCCCCTGCAGTCAATGGAGGAAGGAAGGCTCCTTAGAAGCACCCATGCCTCTCAGAAGGCGCGAGCTTTCGCTGCAAGATGCAACGCTGGCGCCTCGTAAGAAGCAGCCTTCTCCTCTGCAGTCAACGGAGGAAGGAAGGCTCCTGAAAAGCACCCCTGCCTCTCAGGAGGCGCCGGGCCTTCGCTGCAGATGCAACGCTGGCGCCTCGTAAGAAGCAGCCTCCTCCGAAGACGCCGCTCCTTCTCCCCCTGCAGTCAATGGAGGAAGGAAGGCTCCTTAGAAGCACCCATGCCTCTCAGAAGGCGCGAGCCTTCGCTGCAGATGCAACGCTGGCGCCTCGTAAGAGCCGCAGACGCGCTAACGGTGTGTTGGCCAACGGCGAAGTAGGACATCCAATTGTGGGAAGGCGGGGTTCGTGGTCCAACCAGTTGTAGGCACGCGTGCTTCGTTTTTCCCTACAACTCGCTGTATCGTTTTCGTTTGATACATTTCGCCCATTTGACATGTAGGGAACGGTGTGTAGTGATTTCCTACATTTTGTTTTGCGTGAGCTCGGTGTCACAAAACAGTATTCCCAACCGCAGCTTTAACCAAGCACGCCGTTTGCGCGGCCTTGGAAGAAGCAGCCTCCTCCTAAGAAGCCGTTCCCCCTCCCCCTGCAGTCCACCCGTACAGTAAGGATGCGCGACTTTTCAAGGTAACCCTCCTTTCGCTTCGACCCATCATTTGCCGCTTCCGCTGGCCGCGCGCCGCTCGCACGGTGTCGGCACGGCCTGCCAAGGCCCTTGCATTCCCATCGTGTGTCCTCGTCATACGGGCGGACTGTACGGTGGCCCGGTGATCTCGCAAGGACCTGGACCTCGTGAACCTGTCCGACTTCTGCACCGCCTGCTGCACCAACGAGCCCTTGTCGTTCGACTCCCTGGTGCAGCTCTTCGACAAGGACCGGAAGACAGGCGTGCTGGAGAGGATCTTCGTGGACGACGACATCTCTGCGGTGCTTCGGCATCGCGTAACGGGGGGCGAAATGGGGGGGCGGCGAGGGCTGCTGAAAAAGGGGCCCTTTAGGGCCTCTGAAGGGCCCCTTGGGGCCCAAATGGCGGGGGCGTTTCTTCCCCCCCCCCCCGTGCATCGCCCCCCCTCCCCCCCAGTAAGCGACGCCCAAGGTGCACCACGCTGCCTCCAGGGGAAACCTGAACCGCGGGGCGAGCCTGATGACGATGACGGCGGGGAAGACGCAGGGGGGCATCGCGCACTCCAACCTGAATCGGCTTCTCACCGACGTGCAGGCGCTCGTCACGAAAGTCACCGACGCAGAGGTCGAAGAATGAGGAACTGCACAAACACGTGTTCCAAGGTCCGCGCGGATCTCTCGGATCTGTGCTGGACTCCCGTGGTGACGCCTCCGCGCGCCAGTGAGGGTGGTCCAGCGCAGGTACCCAAGGAATTTGTGCGGACCCTCCAGAAGTGCGTGCTGATGTCGTCGATTCTCACTCTTCCGAAGAGGTCAGGGCCCGCGACGCAGGGCGCGAGGTCGACCTCGACGACGACACGATGGACTTGCTGGGCGAGGACACCGAGGCGGGCGCGTTCACGTTCCCGGAGCCCTTGCAGGCGAGCCACCGCGAGTCCTGCACAGTGACTAAGGTTCAGGGGTTGCTGGAAGTGGTCTGATGAGGGGGGGGAGAGAAATGGTAGGACACAATGTTCCCGAACGCCGAAAACCCCCGAACCGCGATGCTCGAGCTTCGAGTCTCGAAACTTCTCCTCCATCCATCGCCTCCTCCATTCCTTCTCCTCATAGATGACTTCTCCCTGTCGCACCCCGAGGCCAGTTTTTAGGGCGAGCCAGGCGTTTCGCCTGAGACTTCCTCACCAGTTATGACTCTGAAGCTTCAAAAGTGGCAACAGTTTCACAGCTGGAAGGCGGGTGGTTTTCAGAATGTGGCTCTCGCCTTAGCGCTGCGCACATTCGGTCTGAACATTTGCAAGAGCTTCACGGATTGAGGGCGGTTGGTTTCAAAATGTAGTCCTCGAAGCAGCGCCGCGCACATTCCTTTATAGATATTTGCAAGAGCTTCACGGATTGAAGGGCGGTTGGTTTTCGAAATAATGCTCTCGCATTAGTTCCGCGCACATTCGAGTCAAGCATTTGCAAGAGTTTCACGGATTGAGAGCGGGTCGTTTTCAACATGTGGTTCTCGCTTTAGCGCCGCGCGCATTCGGTCAAAACATTTGCAAGAGCTTCGCGGATTGAGGGCGGTTGGTTTTCAAAATGTGGCTCTCGCCTCATCGCTGCGCACATGCGTTTTAAACATGTGCAAGAGTTTCACGGATTGAGGGGGGTTTGTTTTCAAAATGTGGCTCTTGCTTGATCGCCGCGCACATGCGTTTGAAACATTTGCGAGAGTTTCACGGATTTAGGGCGGGTCGTTTTCAATATGTGGTTCTCGCCTTAGCTAGCGCCGCGCACATTCGGTCAAAGCATTTGCAAGAGCTTCGCGGATTGAGGGCGGTCGGTTTTCAAAATGTGGCTCTCGCCTTGTCGCCGCGCGCATGCGTTTTAAACATGTGCAAGAGTTTCACGGATTGAGGGGGGTTGGTTGTTGGTTTTCAAAATGTGGCTCTTGCTTGATCGCCGCGCACATGCGTTTGAAACATTTGCGAGAGTTTCACGGATTTAGGGCGGGTCGTTTTCAACATGTGGTTCTCGCCTTAGCTAGCGCCGCGCACATTTGTTTCAAACAACTGCACGAGTTTCACGGATTGAGGGCGGTTGGTTTTCGAAATGTGGCTCTCGCCTTATCGCCGCGCGCATGCGATTTAAACATGTGCAAGAGTTTTACGGATTGAGGGCGGTTGGTTTTCAACATGTGGCTCTCGCTTTAGCGCCGCGCACGTTTTTTTGCAAGAGGTTCACGGGTTTCCATGATCAACGTACCAGAAATTGTGTTATGGAAGGGTTCAGGATCATGTGGGCGCAACAGTTATGTTGATTCGTTGTGTTGAAGTCTCCAAAATGGCGTTCTGGCACGATTCTGAGTCGTCAAGACGCAGCAGTCAGGTTGATACGTGGCGTTGAAATCCCGAGAGCAATGTTTTAGCACGCATCATAATCTTCAAACTGTTCTCTTCCAAAGAAGCAGTTCCCTCATTGGACATGAACCGTGGCAGGGGCCTATGAAGAGGGAGCTTGGAGGGAGGGTTCATTCCAACATCGTTGATGACTCTTGGGTTTCCACTGGTTCTCCTCCTCCTCCTCCTCCTCCTCCTCCTCCTCGTCAGTGCACTCACCTCCATATCTTCTGCTTTCCCCGCTTCTGCGCGCTCCCGGGGTGGGGGGGATGCTAGAAGTGTTCCTGGCCCACGGTGCCCCAAGCTTTTCGCGCTATTTGGGTGCCCCTGGGGACCTCCTGACCTGGTGAGGGGTGCCCTGGGGGTCGTCGGCGCCTCCCTGTGGATCCTGGGGTACGGGGCCCCAAATATGCACCACCACCGCCACCCCCCCCCCCCTCATCTCCTCCCTCTCCCAAGACAGTGGAGACGAAGAGGAGGGTAGAGGAGGGAGTGTAATGGAGGTGGTGGTGGTGATGGTGCTAGTGGTGGTGGTGGTGCATAGCATTGGGACCCGCATGGGGGGCACCATGGGCCAGGGGCACCTCTGGCAGTGCCTGAAAGGTGGACCCAGAGGAGCCGTCGGAGGAGATCGGCAAGAGCTGAGCCCTACTGCGGTCAAGCGCCTCGCTTAAGTGTTCCTGACCTTGGGATGCAACTTTTGGGAGGTTCACAGTCAAAGCGCATACTGAGGATACTTTCCAAGGTTACCTTTCATTTTTGCCCCGTCAGCCCATCCTTGACAGCTTTCGCTGGCCAAGCCCGTTCGAAACGTCATCAACATGGCCTTCCATGGCCCTTGCATCCTTACCACATCAACATGGCCTTCCATGGCCCTTGCATCCTTACCGCGCGTACTTATTATGCTTTTCGATGGTAAATTCAGCATTGGCGCTGGTATACCCGTGGTCGAAAACAGGGCCAATCCGGCAACATCCCGTTCAATTCCGCTTCATACTTCCCCATCCGTCTAAGTCGGTCTTGACGTTGGGCCTAATCCGGGCGAGTTCGGCTCAGTGGCATCTTCATCTGGCTTAGTAGTTTTTAGCCGTTCATACGAAGACTTCCCATGCATTGCCTCCTAAGCCACAGTTGAGTGCCCCTGACCCTCGCTGTCTTCCCGCCGCCCTGCCCTGCCGAAGTTTTGCGGCCCCTGCGATGGGCAGAGATGCCCACCAGACTCCGCACGAGCCCGCGCGGTTATCATGCCTGACGTTTTTTCCCGGTGCGCCATGCCCGGGTCGGACGAAAAGGGGGATAGGGAAAGGAAGGGGTACGACATTTGTTGCGTGCAGTTGGTTTCGATCCCGCCGTTGAGCGCTTCCCTAAATACCAGCAGCTACGTTTGGACTGGCCTAGAATCGAGATGAATCCGTTCCAGAGCGTTCCAGAACGCTCTCAGAGCGTTCTGGAACGCTCTGAAACGGCCGTGGAGCCCGCCGATTCCCAGAGATTTCCGATTCACATCGGTCCGATTTGGTCTCGATTCTGCCTTTGTCTTAACCCCCCCCTTTCTCCGACCCGACATGCCGGTGGACCTTTTATGAGCGTCCTCTGGCGCGGGCCCCAATCCGTCTGCATCACCCCGTGTGCACATGTTCCCGTACTGATGGGAGAGGCTCGCCCGCTGCCCGTGCTGCTTTGTCCGAGGTGCTCTGCGTCCATGGCCAGCTCTCCCCCTTCTGGGCACAACAGAGAACCACAACTACAGCTACGGGGATTTTTCGGGAGGGCCCCCCGGGGGAGAACCCACCGACCTCGACATGACCCCGTCGGTTGCGATCTTGGTCGATAGTGGCCGCCCTGGGACGCCACATCGACCACATCCAGCACGAGGCTGGTTTCGGTGTTCCGACACTTCTTGGCATGCGCGAGACATTCCCCCAGGTGGTCTTCGATGTGGCTGTGGTCGCTAGCTGTCCCCGCATCTCTCTCTCTCTCTCTCTTTCTCTCTTTCTCTCTTGGCATCGCTCGGACGTTTGCATCCTTCTCGGCGAGGCCTGCGCCAGAAAATGCAGAGCATCTGGAAGCATCTCGGACCATAGTGCGGAAAGAACACGCGCGAGACCGACACATGCATAGGGAAAGGACATCTGAGCGGTGGCAAGCTCTGGAAATACATGTATATATAGATATGTGAGACTCCCTGCTTAAGTTCCCACATCCTAAGTCGGGCTCCTGTTTTCTCCTCACACCTCCTCGCAGGGTCTCCTCCCACCTCCTCTCCTCTTCTCCCTTCGCACACTCACTCACTCACTCACTCACTTACACATTCATCATCATCATCATCATCATCATCATCATCATCATCAGCATCATCATCATCGTTCACATCATTATCATCATCAGCATCATCAACACTCCCCACATCCTAAGTGGGGATCTAGTTCCCCGCATCCTTAGTGGGCTTCTTGTTCACCACATTCTACATGGGGTTCTCGGTCCCCACATCCTAAGTGGGTTTCTTGTTTCCCCTGCAGCCCCCCCCGCGCATGGCCTCCTGTTCCCTCTCTTCCTCACCACTCACACGCTCACACACGCGCATCATCACCATCATCACCACATCATCATCACTTACACACTCACTCTCACTCCCTCGAGCACTCTCGTTCACTCATAGCTTACTCACTCATTATCCCACTCATTCACTCACCTCGCCTGAGTGGCTCACTCACTCCCTCACAACTACCACTGAGTGAATTGCGCGGACGTCTCAGGCGGGAGCCCCCTCCGTATGGGGCCCGCAGATCACGTAAACAACCCGAACGGGCAATCATACTCCTGTAACCGTCATCGCGTTTGGCCTCCGCAGGCCTGAGTATGGAGGAAATCTCGAGCGAGAGCCTAGTCAGTGAGTGCACTGTGAGGAAGTCTGCGGCGGGGTACCCCTCCTTGTGGGGCCCGCAGATCATGTCATTAATCCGGGCGGGTCATTGGGACCCTGTACCTGTCATCATTTCTGACCTCCTCAGGCGAGTATGGAGGAATTCTCGAACCTGAACCTTTTGTGTGAGTGTATTGTGAGAAAGTCTCAGGCGCGAACCCCTTCTTTACGGGGCCCACAGCTCATGTTATTAATCCGTGAGTAATTTGTGTTGAAGTCTCACGCGGGAGCCCCTTCATTTATGGGGCCCGCAGCTCATGTTGGTAATCTGGGCGCGTCATCGGGATTTTGTGATTGTCATCACTGTTGTACTCCTCAGGCCTGGGTATGGAAGAAGTCTCGAGCGGGAACCTCTTCTGTGAGTCAATTGTGAGGAAGTCTCAGGCGGGAGCCCCTTCCCCATGGGGCCCGCATTTCACGTTGGTAATCCGAGCGGGTCATCGGAACCCTGTAACTGTCGTCGCTGACTGGCTCTTCATATTGAATTGTGAAGAAGTCCTAGGCGGGAGCCTCGATTGTGAGTGTCTTGCGGGGAAGTCTCAGGCGGGAACCAGCATGAGGTCCGCAGGTCATGTTATGAGTCCGAGCGGGTCATCGGAAACTTGTAAGTGTCGTCGTTTCTGGTTTTTCAAGTTTGAGCATGGGGGAAGTCTCAAGCGGGAGCCTCGTTTGTGAGTGCATTGCTAGGAAGTCTGAGGCGGGAGCTCCTTCCCTATGGAGCCCGCGCCACGCGCATGCGGAACATGCTGATATTGCGGCCGCCGCCGCGAGAGTTCCTGGATCGACCGCTGCCAGCGTCCTTACGGAAGGAGCTCCTTGCGTTCGACAAGAGAGCCGGGAGCTCCAGGGCAGAGGCGGAGCAGCTCGCGGCAGAGCTGGGTTTCGTATTGTTTTCCGCCTGAGCGCAGCTGCGCCTCGCTCGAAACCCGCGGGGTTGTCCCAACGGTTTCGTCTCGCGCGCCAGCGGCTCGCGGGGTTGCCGGCCCGCGGGGTTGTCCCAACGGATGCGCGATGACGCCATTACAAATGCGCCCGTGCTTGCCGAGGCGGCGACGGCGCCGAGGAACATTGACATGGGCGCTCATGCTAGGAGGAAGCGTGCACGAGGAGAACAGACGGGGTGGCGATGAGGAAGGGGAGGGGGACCAGGTGAGGGAGGAGGAGGATGAAACGGACGAGGAGGAGAGAGAACCGAGGAGGAGAGGGAGGAGGAGGAGGTTGAGGGAGAGAAGGAAGATGAGGATGAGGAGGAAGAGACGGAGGATACAAAATGCAACGGGGAGGACGAGAAGGAAGAGGACAAGAAGGACGAGGAGAAGGAGGAGGAGGAGGAGGGCGCAAAAGGTTTGACGGAAGGCCTCCACCACTCGAAGGAAAAAAAGCGAAGGGCAAATTGAGTGAATGTTCGTGTGGGGTCCTACCGTCGGAGTAATTTTCTGTGCGCTCCCCCCCGAGGAGGATCTCTCCTCTTCCATCTTTTCTTCGCCACTCACACGCACACGCGCGCGTGCACATCATCATCATCATCGTCATTATCATCATTATCACCACCACATCAGCATCATCTCCTAGACACGTATTCGCGCTCTTCCGATCACGCGCCATTCATTTCTAGGAGCCCGTTTCTTTATTGTTCGTGGAATGACGGGCGTCATGGCCCCCGCTCCCCCCCTATGATGTAACGCTCCCCCCCCAGTTCGCCCGGGCATTGCCTCCCTGCGAGTTGTGATCCGCGTAGGTGTCCGCGTAGGAAGCCGCATAAGTGTCAGGTTCGCAGTCGTTGTCGTCGTCGTCGTCGTCGTCGTCGTCGTCGTCGTCATCGCTTGTGGCTCGTCGTTCGTCGCTCATCGACGTCGTGCGCGCGGACGCGGTTGGAGCTTGTGTTTTAGGCCGAAGACGGCAATCATCTGGGGGGGGGAGGGGGTCGATGACGTCACGTTTCGTGCCGGCGGCGTCTGGGAATGCCTAGCACAGTGCCTGCGTGCCACAACGCCTGTGTACACCACGCCGCCTGTGTACACCGCAGCAGCCGCGTGCAACTCACCGTCAGTTTGTGCCACCGTGCCTGCGGGCACAACAGCTGTTGTGTACACCGCAACGCCTGCGTACACCACATCAGCCGTATGCCACGCAGCACCAGTGTACACCACAATGCCTGCGCGCATTGCATTGCATTTGTACACCACGGCACTCGTGTGCACCAGAGCAACCGTGTGCAACACAACACCACTGTTGTACATAGAATGTCAGAAGGAATCCTTATGACAAAATGCGGCGCTTGTGCATTCCACACGAAATGGGAACGAATCTTTATGGACAGGAGCGCCGCTGGAATCGACGAGTCCTCCACAGTCCGCCCGCACCACTCGAATTCCTCCCTCCCATCTGCGTCCAGGAAGCTCCAACTGAATGGGCCATGCGGGAACCAAGTGGACCGATTAAATTGACCATTCTGCGGTGCACGCTGAAATGCCCACGTGCGCTGTAGCGCCCATCCGCACGACAGGGGGTACGAAGGAAACTGAGGAGGAGGAGGAGGAGGAGGAGGAGGAGGAGGAGGACGAGGAGGAGGAGGAGGAGGAGAGGGAGGAGAGGGAGGAGACGGAGGAGAGGGAGGAGAGGGAAGAGAGGGAGGAGAGGGAGGAGAGGGAGGAGAGGGGGGAAAGAGAGGAGAGGGAGGAGAGGGAGGCAAGCTAGGTGCGCTCGCGTCATATCTGACCGCCTACCCCTCCCTCCCATCCCTTACCATGGCGCTGATTT